ATAATAATAGTAATAATAAAACTATTGTTTTTTCGTTCTGTTTTGGTTTTTGGTAAATTATTATTCAGTAAACTTCTTCCGCAAATCGCAACGACATGACACGAACACTCTGTGCAGGTGACCAGCCATGGTCAGATCATCGGGGCTGTGGTGGCAGACAGTCAGGAGAGGGCGCGGGAGGCTGCCAGGCTGGTCAAAGTACAGTACGAGGACTTGGAGACGATTGTCACCATACAGGTGAGTGGTGGTGGGTTATACAGGTGATAATAGTCACCTTACAGGTGAGTGGTGGTGGGTTATACAGGTGATTATTGTCACTATACAGTTGAGTGGTGTTTGGTTATATAGGTGGTAATTGTCACCATACAGGTGAGTAGAGGTGGGTTATATAGTTGGTACATGTCACTATACAGGTAAGCAGTGTTTGGTTATACTGGTGATAATTGTCACTATACAGATGAGTAGTGTTTGGTTATATAGGTGGTAATTGTCACTATACAGGTGAGCAGTGTTTGGTTATATAGGTGGTAATTGTCACCATACAGGTGACTTGTGGTGGGTTATATAGGTGGTAATTGTCACTATACAGGTGACTTGTGGTGGGTTATATAGGTGGTAATTGTCACTATGCAGGTGACATGTGGTGTTTTTTTATTTTTTAACTTATTTTTTAGGTGTGTTTTACGGCGCTCGCAACTGCACAAGGTCATATGAGCGTGCGGGACACACCAAACGTTTACAGTTGGTAGGAAATTTTGAATTTTGCTCGGGTGGCGGCCGAAACCTACTCTTATCGATTTTAGACCACCAAGGCAACTTTCACACAGGACCTTTGATATTTTTTGCCCTTGTCCGAGATGGCTAGGTGTAGATTTTTCCTACCAGAGGATCAAGGGTGTGGCTGAAGGACAGCAGTAAGAAGGAGCCAAGGAGAAGCAATGGAAAGGCTGCAGAAAGATTCAAGAGCCCAGAGGAGGGGGCTAAGGAGGTGATGGGGTGGGGACAGAAATTGGAGACGAAAGCAGACTACAGAACATTGCTAGGAAACAGGAAAGGAGATGAAAGGAGACAATTTTAGAGAAAAAGAAAATGTTTCCGTCCATACCCGGATTCGAACCCGGGACCTTTGAATGAGAGACGAACACCTTTACCTCTAGGCCACGAGAGACCCCTGATCAGTGTTTGGTTATAAGGGTGGTACAGGTCATCATACAGGTGAGCAGTGTTTGACCATACACGTTGCAGTTGTCACCATAAAGGTGAGCAATGTTTGGTTTTATAGGTGGCAATTGTTACCATCGTTCTTATTTCTTCTCCTCATTTTTTAGATATGTACTCTCTCTTGTAACATCTCCTTTTCTTAAAAATACAGGTTTTACGGCATTCGCAACTGCATAAGGTCATATGAGCGCCAGAAGATTAGAGGTGTTACAAGAGAGTACATGTAAAGAAAATGAGGAGAAGAGATATGAAGGACAGATGTTGGATAGGAAAGAAGGAATAAAGCACACCAAAGCACCCGCCAACCATACACAGAATGCACGCACGGGCGTGCACGCATCTTTTGTATAATTATCATCTGCCCAATCAAACACTGCTCATCTTTATGGTGACAATTGCCAACTGTATAACCAAACACTACTCACATTTATGGTATCAATTACCACCTGTATAACCAAGCACAGCTTCGACAATTATATGACCTTTTTTGGTGTTGCAAGTGCCGAGAAACTCTTACTGACTGAAACGTTTTAATTAAAACAATACAAACATGACATTCATTCCGCAGGAAGCCATTCAACACAATTCCTATTTGACCAAGCCAATACTGGTGAGCACGGGGGATGTGGAAGAAGGCTTCCGTCAGTGTGAGCACATTCTGCACGGCGAAACGCACGTGAATGGGCAGTACCATTTCTACATGGAGACGAACGTGTGTCGTGCTGTGCCGGGGGAGAATGGGGAGATAGAGCTCACCTCTGCCTCTCAGAACTTGGCAGAAGTTCAGGTGAGTTGGACGTGGAATCTGTTCGAATTCTAGGTACGTGCTCTGAGGGAACGTGTTTCTTAGTGTGTGTGT